TCTGTTTTTTTTTTTTTTTTTTTTTTTTTTTTTTTGTTTTTTTTTTTGGGTCTCTCTCAGTGTGTGTCCCTTTTGACGCCAGTGTCCTCTGGAAGGTCAAAAATAAATATGACCTGAACCTAACAGTTCTTCTCTGCACATTTCTGCACAAAGGAGGGCGCTTTATTTCTTTAAAAAAAGATCTGTATTTGCACGTACAGGTTGGGTTTCCTAGTGTTTTACAAGCTCCCTAGCAAATTGGCGCCTCAGTAATTTATTTTTCTTTCCCAGAGCTGGGCACAGAGCTTGGGTTTACACCAAGCACAGCCCTGAGCAGTTGAGGGCTTGTGCGAGACTTTGGGATCCCCTGATGGCTGCTTGTCATCAAGACCTTGCCAGCACTGAGGTGTTCATTTGTGTCTCCAGCGAAAGGACATTCATATTGTAGCTTAAGCACTGCACTTGAAAATGAACACTGGCTCGCTGAGCGCCATGGTTTTTATCAGCTGAACTGTGTTCTCTTTCATGTGGCAGTATTTTCCGTCTCTGGGATTCTGGGTGTTTAGTGTTTTCCTCTTTTACTGGAAGTCAGATTTGCCGCGTTGCTGAAAAGGACAGTGAATTTCCCTCTTCAGACCCTGGCTCAGGCTGCTCCCTACTTCCCACCGACCTCGAGGAATTGAGCAGGAGGGGCCACTGATCCCTTTGCCAATCCCTAGGCCCAGAGGCTTTGTGGCTGCCTCCAGTCCCTCCCTCCACACATGCACACTGTCATTGCAGTAAGAGGATTGTATTTCTTTTAATATCTACCCAAGCTCATCCTGCACTAACGTGACCCTCCTCCTGCCGCTCCTTCAGCAGCTGAATTAGCAAGGCTTCCTGCCCTCTTCCAGTCCCTGCTTACTTGTCCAGAAAGTAGCTAGGATCCTCTGGCATCCCAGCCAGGTTTTGTCATCATTTTTCCATAGTTCATTTTACCCACTTGTAGGTATTCCTCCCCCTCTCCACTTCCCGGTAATTACTTGAATCTTTGGTCTGAAGCTTTTTATTGAATCCACTTTCCATCTGCGAAGGAATTTAGTGATATAGTCTGCCTTTTCACATATTAAATTATTTCTTAATCTAGGTCACCAGCTGTTAATATGCCAGAAATAAATGGAAAGAAAACGTAATCTGTCTTACAGAGTGTTCAAGCCCTTATGAATTGTTGAAAACTCACTTTGTCATTACTAAGGTCAGGTGTGTGTTAAGATTGCCTTTGAGGATGGTGGTTACTTTTCCCTGGAAGTGGAGGTCTAAGGGAGGCTTGCATAGGGCTTCAAGTATCCTATTTTCCTTTCCGGGGAAAGTAGCTGATGAAGAAGAGTGCCTGCTGCACCAAGTTTAGGGGATTAAGACACCGAAAGGCTGAGCATATGGGTTCTACTGGTGGGTACCTTCTGCCCCTTTCCTGAGCGTGGGCAGCACAAGGAAAAGGGCATGTAGGAATTCAGCTGGGGTAGCCCAGCCAAGCCCAAACAGAAGCCACCGGAGAGTGGAAAACACAGCAAGTTGCTGTTGCAGGCATCAGATATCTCCGCCAGTGATTCCTTTCTCTTATATCTGGACCATTCCTCTTCTCTGATGCACAGGTGCTCCATAGCACTATTTGTATGCCACATGTGTTCTTGAGACTTTGGCTCATTTTTACAACCAAATTTTCTCAAAAGAGAGTCTACTCCCGTGACTTTCTCATCCTCTGCACTGCATCTAACAGCTGCATGCATTTTAGCTCCAAACGCATGACTGAAGCTACTCTCAGGGGGAGTCTTATGTTTTTTTTAATGAATTTAAAATACATTTTGTTCTTATTGAAGGTCTGTGAAGGTTCAGTGGAGAAAGAGGGAACAATATATAAGCGAGAAAAAAACCTAGTAACAAATTAGGACAATCGTAATTCTACTACCCAGAAATTTCACTATCATTTGATGGGTAGTCTAGTGGATCTTTTCCCATATGTACATGTATATATTTATACAACAAAACAGGCTCATACCTTTAGGTTTTTGACCTGTTGATTTCATAATAATCATGTTACGTGATTATTAATAATTATGAACATTCTTGAGTATGTACACATTTAACGTCGACGTTTTAAATGACTGAACAATATTGAAATGCATGGATTTTAATGAATCTCCCTATTTTTTGGACATTCAGTTTCCAATGTTTCTGTATATAAGTACAAATCCATGGGAAAACTTGTAGGGAAAATGGTTGCTCATAGTAGGGATAATGTTTGCATACTCCCTGAAGTATTTCCTTGGATAAATTCCTAGAAGTATTATGTCAAAGATATGCTTATTTTTATTATAGCTAGATTGCCTTTCAGAATGGTTGTATCCATTAACATTCTCAACAGGGGTACATGAGACACTTGCCAACACTGGATAATAAAATTTAAAAATGGTCTTTAGCCATGTCCCTGGAAAAAATTTAGTTCCTATTTATTTCATTTGATTATTAAAAACCAAACATTTTTATATTCCAATTTTTTATTTGTGAATTGTGTTTATATTTTTGCCCATTTTGTGTAGCATCTCCACCCTGTTCTGTGTAAGGTTACAAATATGGTTTCTTCCTTTTCTATTTACTTTTTCATTTTTTGATCATTTTTTTCTGCCATAGAGAAGGTTTATGTTTATATTATGTTTATGTTTTATGTATGTCTGCTTAAATCTATCAATTGGTTTTGTATGGCTTCTCTCTTGGTTGTTGAAATAATCAGGGCCCTGCCACTTGTAAATATCAGAAAACTCAATTCAAACTGGTTTAAGGAAAAAGGGGAATATAATTACTAAAATTAAAAATATGGCTCTTGCACATATAATTCTAAATGAGATTTTAACATACATATTTGTAGTTCTTATACCTATGTGTATGTATAAATATATGCATATGTGTATTATATATATTCACTCATTTGATTCTATGAGGTAGGTACTATTACTATCCCATTTTATAGATGAGGAAAGGGTAAAGTGACATGCCCAAGGTCACACAGTTAGTAGGTAGCAAGGGTGAAGTTTGAACCCAAGGCAGTCCAGTGTTTTCCCATTACGTGATACTACCTCTTGTAATTAATGAAAAAGGCTGAGGTAGACAAACCTCAGACCTATTGGAACGTGGGGTTCAACCACAGACATTTGGGCTCACATGCTTTTGTCTCTGCTGTTCATTCTGTCAGCCTCCCCATTCTTGGGGAAGGTTTTCTCTCCTGGTGGCAAGATGGCTGTCAGCAGCTCTAGACAAGAGCATGTTTTTCCTTCAACACTTAGTTCTCATTGGCCTAAACTGTGCCTTGTTCTTCTCTCTGGGAGGAAAAAAAAATCCCTCTGACCAGGACCATGGGTTGGATTGGGCCTGAGTCACAAACTACTACTGAAGCAGGGATGGAGAAGTTCCCCCTGGACCAAATGGATTGCTGGTGGAGAAGGAAGGAAAATCAGAGTATAGAAAGGGAAATGAATGCAGCACTGACAAAATAAAAAGTATCCACTGAGGGGCGCCCGGGTGGCTCAGTTAAGCGGCTGACTTCAGCTCAGGTCACGATCTCAGGGTGGTGGGATTGAGCCCCACTGCTGGCTCTGCACTCAGCGGGGAGTCTCCTTGTCCCCCTCTCCTCTCCCTTTGCCGCTCAAACCCCACCCCTGCTCTGTCTCTCAAATAAGGAAATAAAATCTTAAAAGCAAGTATCCACTGAGGCATACTTAAAAGGCCTTGTCTGTCCCATGTTTATATAAATAATCATATATTTGATAATTTATAATTTTAACATTTGTTTAAAAATTTCCTACCAAATTAATATATGCCATTTAAAAATCAAATATAATAAAATAATATAATGTAAAGGGCTTCTTATGAAAAGTAGCAGACCCCCGTCCCCTTCCCTCAACCTCCAGTCTTGATCGTCAGAGGTAGCTATTACTAACCACAACATCTCTGTGAAATATGCTTATATAACTACTTCTTTTTTTTCATATTTTGAAAGAATCCTTTTATTTTCAATTATTTATATCCTGTCATTTTCATCAAGGAATTTTTTTTTTGGTGAACATTATTTACATTTATTTCTTTTTCTTTTTTTATGTTAAAACACTAGAGAATTGGCTGCATTTTCATTGATCGCTCTGTACAGGCACTTTTTTTTTTTTTTTTTACCCCTCTCTGTTTTCCTGAGTTGTTTCCATTCTTCCATCCTCGTTTCTGCTCCCTTAATATGTATTAAATGCTCTGATCCACTGAAGATGCCTCCCCCCCCGCCTTTGTCATTGTTTGCTCATACCTTCTTTATTCCTTTACTATCATTTTAGTTGGGTTTTGGGAGGAGATGGAAATAAACACAGTCTGTCTATCTCTAAG